AGGTTGAGCCGGTCCATGCTGGACCGGCGTAACAGAATCGTGGGAGAAATTGTTGAGAACAGGGCGGAAAGAAGGTTGTTGTCGACGAGATTCCATCGTTTGAATTCAGAGGTGTTGACGTCGGAGGGGAAAGAAGCCGTGCCAGTCAGGTGGCCGGCGTACCCATTGGCTGTAAATTGCTGTAGAAGCTGTATTTGCCAAATTGCGTAGTTGTCCACGGTGAGGGCATGAGGAACAAGATTCTTGATGTTGGAGATGAGGAATTTGAGCGGTGCCGGAATGTGGAGCTCGGTGGTGGTGATTTCGCCGGAGACAGCAGCGGATAAGGGAGGGTGGGAGGTCACGGAATCTTTGTCTGCCATAATCACGAACTAGCTCTTGATACCATGAAAGAACCGGAAGCAGGAAGGAACAAAGAGAAGAACAAAGAGCAAGAAGCAAGAATCTAAAGGAATTTTATTATATTAGATTATTACAGAATAGAAGCCAGAGCTCAGTATAAATATATTTACATAATAGCAAACAAATGTAAATATAAGCAAGTATCTTATACTCGTTTACATAGACCATATCCCTAGCAATCGTCGTCAATGTAATCAAATGCAATTAATTTTTTTGATTAAATGATACATGTGGGGTCGTAGCACTCACTTTTTTCAAAAATAATAATAATAAAACCCAAAAAAAAAATCCTGAAGTGATAACCATTATGAAAAAGGCAAAACCGGGGCCCATCTTCTAGAGCTTCGGTCATCTAAAAGCCACCATATTCTTAAGCTAGAGTGTAAATGGTCTAATGAAAGCGATATCAGAGCTAATTACGTACACTATTTGTCTTGGTCTGAAGTTATCTAGAACTGGCTAATGATTAAAATAATGTTCGGTGTTAACTATTTAAAAATAAATAAATAAATAATAAAGAGCAGCCTCCATCAATCATTTTCTTTCAGCACAAAATAAAATATTAATAAAAATAAAAAAAAGCCTAATTTAAAATTGTAGTTAGCTATGAAGTACAATCTCACCAACTAATACATTATAGGAAGCGACTACTTGCAATTTTTTATATTTATTGAATATTTACTCGTAAGCAAGAGGCAACCCTGCGCCCCCAGAATAAGATCCAACGGTCAGGATTATTCCATCGGATGGACGATCAAGTCCCGCTAAAGCCGGGACGCGGAGGCAGCACGTTACATACCGTCCGCAACATCGCCTTCCAGAAGAACGATTCGGTGCCACGTCAGCACTTCGATTATCATTCACGTGGCCCCACGGCCCGGTGCATTGGACCGGGCAAAAAAAAAACCGGCGGGCGGCCCCCCTGTTTTTACTTTTTAATTTGGACCCTTCCACCTATAAATCATAGTAGGACCTAATCCGAAATATTCGAAACAATTGAAAATTTTTGATCTATAACTCGATTCCATTTTGATGTCTGCGATCGCAAGCGTGGCTGGATGCCCATACGCTGCTGCGGCGATAAGATCGCCGGGGAGGCCGAGGGGGACAGTGGCGATGGCTTCGCCGGCGGCGGCAAAGGCGGTGGAAGGAAGGGGGCTCTATGCGGTGCTTGGAGTGGGGGAACGAGCGAGCGTGGGAGAGATAAAGGCGGCGTACCGGACGCTGGCCAAGAGATGGCATCCTGATGTAGCGGGGGAAGGCGGCGCCGGAGCTTTTCTTCAGATCCAGCGGGCGTACGCGACGCTTTCGAATCCGAGGGAGAGGGAGAGGTATGATTGCTCGATGGGTCTGTTAGGGTTAGTGTTCCGGCGAGGGGAGAGGTTCTGTACAAGAAAGTGGGAGACGGATCAGTGCTGGTAGGATATCAGGCAAAAGCCTGGAAGCGGCGGGTTATGGAAGGATTCCGTTCTTGGGCTAGTTTGCCGGAAGAAGGCGGGGTTTCTGTAATATGGTGATGTTCTGAGATCGGAGAGAATGGTGGCAGGGAAACCTAATTGGAGCCTATTTTGGGACTGAATGGCGACTGTTCTCTCTTTTTTGTAAAAAGCTAGGAGATTATTCTCTTCGTGGGCAGACGCAACCTGCTTGCTAATTTGGCTCGATGAACATCACTCAAAAAAATATATTGATTTGTAGTTTTGATTGAGCTTTGGTTAGTAAAT